GGGGAAAAGGAGGCGAGGGAGGTAAAGAAGAAAAGGGGATTGGCGAGGAAGAAGAGCCGGCAGCCATAGCTGACCGGAGGGTTGACCAAGAGGGTTCGCCGGAGGCGTTGACGGGCGTTACCAGAGTTGACCGCGGGTTGACCGAGGGTTGACCGCAGACTTTACCGGCGTTGACCAAGACCGTTGACCAAGACTTTGACCAAGCTGGAGTTGGTAACATCTCGCCAAGCCCTTAGCCTACTCCTTGCCCTATGGATGCGCACATACCCCTTGGTACTTGCTGAGTACAGTCTGTCTATCTATTCTTTCTGCATCGAGTCTCTTCTGTCCTAGGTCATAGTACTCTGTGGATGAAGGATAGGGCTTGGATGACGAAACCCTTGTCTGACCTTATAGGGCTAAGACTGTGGCTGATCCAACTTTCCAGGGGGGCATAACCCTCCCAAGGACCGGTGCTGACCGGCTGGAAACGGTTGGTAGGACTCAGTGGGCCTGAACGGCAGTTAGGGCTGACACACCAGGCAGTCTTTAAGTGTTGAGGGCCTGTTTGAACCACTCCCCTACCGGACCAAGTAAGGATGAGGATCTGTGTCTGACGACTCGACTGTCCCGAAGGTCAAACCCTCCCAAGGACCGGTACAGACCGGCGGGCTGCTCGGTGTGGCACAGTAGGCCGGAAAGGCTAAGTTGTGGGCTGAAAGCACAGGCAAAACCAAGCTGATCACGTCGTCCTGTCTGCGACATTAAAGAATTCTTGCGGAGTTACGGGGGATCTCCTTAAATGCCTCCTGATCAGCCACTGGTTCAGTAGTGACAGCCATAGCATAGGTCTAGGCTATAGACCATAGTTAACAGGGTCCTTGTTAGGATTTTGTGGGTTCTTAGATTGAGTCCATAGGTTTGTCAGTCACGGGTCAAAGTCTACGTGGTGAGGTCTGGAACCACTAACCCGGTTGTATACTTATCACCATGGTTGGGACCCGTAGTGGGTTAGAGACTAGCCCCTATAGCAAAGAGCAGCAAGAAAAGATGGCCGCCTAGTCCAAGAGAACAGGGAGAGAAAAGAGCGTGAGAAGCAAGCGAAGCTAAAGGCTATCGCAGATGAGCAGGCGGCGAAGATGAAGAGATTGGAGGAGGAGATGAAGAAAGTACAACAAGAGGAGGAAGAAAGAAGAAAAGCTGCTGAAGCAGAAGCGGCAGCAGAAGAAGAGAAAGAGAGGATGAGGATTGGGAGTGGAGAAGGGAGCAGTAGTGGCACGATGAAGTGGGAGGCAGATCCTGAGCTGGAGAAGAAGATCAGCGAGTGGGTCGCTAATTTATCGTTGGGGGAAGACGAGGAGGCGGAGTCATATGTGACTCGGGATGAGAAGGCTGCGCTGGCCGCTGAGCTAGCAGCCATGACGGACCCGATGGAACGAAGAGAGAGGGAAGACGAGCAAAAGTTAGCATGGAAGCTGAGAATGAAGAGGGAGAAGAAGAGGAGGAGAGAGGAAGTGAATAAGATGACCGCAGCAGTGGCAAAGGTGCAGGAGTGTAGAGCGGAGGTGTTGGCCCAGCCAGATCATAAAGCCAAGTGGGACAAGGTACTGGGGTACCTGGAAGTGTTGAGCAAGGCCTAGATGGAAGAACGCCAGGCTAGCTGGAGCCAAGATGTAGCGTTGAGTGCCATGCGGTCCGGTTTCAGAGACTTTGCGCGCGCGGTCGTCACCCATATTGGGGGCGAAATCAAGCAATTGAGAGACAATGTAGGAAAGTTTTGCGAGGGCGCCATTCAGGGTGCCAAAGCAGTAGCCGCTGTAAAGGGAGAGGCCAGACCCCGTAAGGACCCAGTGAAACTTAAGTTCCCAGACGCGTACGGGGGGAAGAAGGAGGAAAACTTTGACAACTGGGAAGCCAGTGTCAACAGTTATATTTACTTACAGCACATCTTGATAGAGGAACAAGTTCTCGTGGCCTTCTAGGCCCTCAAAGATGAAGCGGCTAGTTTCGCTAGGTCTCTTGCTCGTACAGCCGGTTGCGAAAACAACCTGGTTGCATATTCCAAAGTCACCCCTCTTTCCCAATTCCTTAAGCATATTCCAAGGAGCGTTTCGCTGACCCAACGCGAGGCATTAGAGCCTCTTACAAGCTGCAAACGATCCACTCATGACAGTGGAGGAGTGCCAAGGCACTCAAGAGTACCATGGACGACTTGGTAGCCGTCCCGGACCATGGGGTCGCTGAGCCCCAACTGGTCCAGTTGTTTTATCGCGCCATTCCAGAGGCCCTACGCGGGCATTTCTTTGACAAGTCTCAGCAGGCCGGCATCACTTATGATGCATTAAGTAGAGAAGTCGTCCTGTATGAGTCAAAGTCTATGCCAGTCACCACTTTCTGGCATAAGGACTTGGAAAAGGGGAAGAAGTGGAAGGATCATACCATCTCAGGCCAAGTAAAGGCCAAGGATCACTTGATCCAGGCATTAGAGGAGGGTGGTACAGAAGAGGTCCCATATGATCAGATTGAGTGGGGCCTAGGAGAGGAGGACAGTAGTGTAGGGCAGGGGAGGTCTTACGTTGCTGTCGCGGCTGGAGGGAGGCCGCAAGGTAGAGGAGGAGGCCAGGGCCAAAGGGGCCAGGCCATGGGAGGCCGAGGACCGGGCGCGCAAGTGGTTGGCGGCCAAGGAAACCGCCAAGCGGGGGGGTAGGGGTCAAGGTCCCCCGTTAAATCGCCAGGGTAACCGGTCCCCACAGCGAGGAGGTGGAAGGGCACCTCAAGGAGGATGGCACCAAGGCTTGCCGCAGGGCAGGCCCTGGGAAGACTTGGGCTTGGACCAGCGTTTATGGCAAGAACGCGTGAACCTGGGTCAAGGCGTGTTTTGTGGTGACCCGGCCCACGTAATTAAATTTTGTCCAAAGTATAGACAGGCCCGTTGGGCTGCCCAACAGTCAAAAGGCAGCTGCCAGTAGGGGTTGCAACTCCCCCTACTTCAAGGCCATGTGGAGAAGTGAGCGCGCGCGAACAGGACACTCCCAACCCACATGAGCCTATGGCAGAGGTTGCAGGCCCGTGCCTAGATAGCTGTCCTGAGACCGGCTGTGTTAGCGTCTCTTTAGGCACGTTGTCGGAGGGCGCGGTATCCGGCCCTCCTCTGTGTACCAAGTCACTGCTTGGTACCAGTCCTCGCTCTGATGCTCTGGCCTATAGATGCACCTAGGACCCCTGCAGTTCCTGATAACCAGGCTGTACCTCGGCGCGGACCGGTCCCGGTGACGTTGCCCTCAACAAAAGGGGTGCGCCACAAGACTTCCATTGGTCCACGCAGGCTCGGCGCCCTGCTGTACAGCAGAGCACAACCGGCCTGTGACCGTGGTAGCCACCGGGTTCGCCCTGGGACGCGGAGGTGAAAAGACCGGCTCAGCCTTTTCTACTATGCACCAAATGCCCTCTAGCCGGGTTATGGGTTAGGTGCACTAGGCGGAAGTCACTGTCAGAAGAGGAAAGAAAAGAAAGAAAGAAAAGAAAAATAATAAAAACGTCGAGTGTGAATTCGCTTTAGTTCGGGGAAAATCGAGCGGCTTCGGGCCACTGTGATGTTACGATCCCCTTTCCATTTTTACTTACTGATTATTATTATTATTATTATTATTATTATTATTATTAATGTTATTACTTAATTTCCCAAATTTTTTGTTTCCTGCCTGTCGATCTGTCACTTCGCAGGGGAGGCCGTCGATTCGGGTTTTCGAACTACGACAGCTGCCTTATGGCCTGGGGCTCTACCTACCCCTTGTATATCACCTGTATCAGACTCGTTCATCCGAACCTTGCAGCGGGACCCCGATGGCCAGGTGAAGAGGCAGATACCGTGAGGACTAGAAGGAAAAAGAAAAAGAAAAGAAAAAAAACATAGTAAAAGAAAGAGAAGGAACGAGAAAGGTTGGAAGTCGGGTGCAAGATTTGTGCGTGAACGTGGATCGTTGTTCAGGCAAGGGTGCTGCGCGGAGAAATTCTGGGACGCCACCCCTTCCTTTCAAGCGATTAATATTATTTTTATTATTATTGGTATTATTATTATTTTCTTTATTACTACTTAGTTTTTCTAAGTTTGGTTTTCAGCCTGTTGGCTAATCCTTTCGCAGGAAACCAACGGTTCGAATTTCGAAGCCAACAGTCCGTAGCCTAAGTAGGCCGGCCTTGCATATACTATCCGCGGGTGAGCTTCGATCTGGCATCGCGCGGCAGGACCTCAAAAGGAGGTGGACCCGCGGCCGCATTAGTAGGAGGCCTATCACCCTCCGTGTGGAGGGTCATAAGCCCCCTCCTTTCCATCGGACACGGGCACCCAGCGGAAATAGCACAGTGCTCTCTCTTAAGGTGAAAACCCGGACGGTCGGGATCTCGTTATGGGACCACCACTTCGGGATTGTAGGCGCATCTCGGCGAGGCGAAGCGACAGGGGTCGATAGCAGAAAGTCTGCAGTCGCCGGTGGTCACTAAGACTTCGCTACTTTTTATTCTTGATCCATTTTATTCTATTGCTTATTTCATTTAATTAATTATATGGCCCCAGGGTAATGATGAGCAGAGTTTCAGGGGGTACATCGTTTAGAACGTTGGGATCACAACATACGGTCGATCGTATAAAAAAGAATGAGACCTGGCTATCTAGCGGCTGATTAGGAGGGCGCTAGTGGGCTGCTTCATGACGTTAGTGCACCAGCCACTTCGCTGTGCGAGCGTCAATCGACTGAGGTGAAGGATACAGAATAGCGGGCGTTTAGCAGATGCCGATTGTCTGTGCCTAGGACCAAGGTTTCGTCTGATTTTGAGACCAGTCATGGCGCTACACGGCTATAGGCCTGGCAGTTGGCGGCACACGGTGCGCTGGGTTCCAGTGTCGGGTGAAGGGCCTCTGATTACGACGGCCCTGAACTATGATGGTGGAGAGGTAGTCCGATTGAAGGTCTGCATAGAAGGGGGGAGAGAGGAGGAGATGCGAGGTGATCAGAGGCTGCAGGCTGCCATTTCCGAGGCACGCGACAGGGCGGAACGGAGGTGTAGACGAGACGGGGTGACCGTGGGCTTGAGAGTGACGGTCATCTATCATGAGACCGAGTCATCAACTGGGACCGAGACAAGGGAGGAACAGCACAACGAGAGAGACTCAGGCGGGGAGAGTGAAATGAGCGAGGCGGACCGAGAAACGGACCTCAGGTCCTGGAACAGACCCGAGGAGATCCAAAAGCACCATCGAGCCGCGGAGCTGGTGGAAAAAGGACGTGAGGCCAGCTCTCAACAACTCATGCCCAGAGGCCGCGGAAAAAAAAAAACAGCAGAGCAAGGGGAAAGGACGTGTGTAAGGCAGCGACACGAGGTGCGACATACGTACGCGTGGCACTGCGAAGTGTGAGTGAGAGGGAGAGAGGTGGTTGACGAGAGAGCTAGCGGGTGTGCACGAGAACAGAGAGTGAGCCTACTGCGCTCGTCAGAAGGGGGGAACAGGACGAATCGCGAAAGAGGGGCAAGAGCAGTAGGACGGGTAACAGACAAAAGGATTGTGGCGAGGGCAACAGGGAGAGTGACAGACGAGCACGAGAGGTTACTCGAGGAGGGCTACACGTGGCAATCGGAGAACATAAGAGAAGGCAATGGAAGGGGAAGACTGCGCGAGTGAGCGAGACGCTATCTTGTTAGATGCAGTTGATGTTACTCGCTATCTTCAAGTTCGCTTACTGCACTGGGTATCAACTGAGTTACAGTGAGTCCTCGGGCTGCGGCGGGAGACGCGTGCGTGGCGGGGGKCAACGCGGACTCGCGAGAGTTGATGACGTCAACCTCGCTGTTGATCGCGCCACGGGAGACATTCTTTAAAAAGGGATGGTTACACGTGCACGATATGCCACATTGAGAGGGTTAGAGAGAAGACGGGGAACGATCTTTCTTTCTCTCTGACTGAGCACGCGAGACAGAAGACGTTAACTGCTGCTGAAGTCAGACCTATTACTTTCCCTCCCTGTGGCAGACAATGAGGGAGGAGGTTGCGTAAGGTACTCACCTAGTGGTGGTGATTGTGATTGTTCCTGTCAAGAAGCACGCGTGATGGGCTGAGACGGTGGTCTCCTCGAAGAGTTTGGTGACTTGGTTCTGGTCCGCTGGGAGCTCGTAGAACGTTTAAGCCAACAAGGTGGCGATGGGCGATTGTCTGCGGACACGATCAGTGTGCTACTCTCAGTACTGTGCCCCACATTTCGCCACCCTGTCAGTACAATGCCATCGAAGAACCTGAAGTGATCGAGGATCGTCTCCTGGTGAGCTCCACGCCAAGTGCGTTTGAGCGAATCACTGTTGACGTCATCAAATTGCCTAGTTTGGAGATAATGGGAACTTCGCCCCCTCAGAGACTCGAGTTGTCACCTCAAGATGGCCGAAGGAACGCCAGGAGAAATTTGTGACGCTGCAGAAACGGGTCTATTCATTATTTGATCGCGTGTACGTGATCTGCTCGATCGAGGGCCAACTGCTGAGAGTCTTGTCCTCTTTGAAGGTGTTTTGCTCACCAGCTGGCGTGCTCTCTCTGATGATCATTTGTCTCGCCACCCTCGAGTGACTTCCTGTTCATGTTGGGTACTGCTATCAAAACCCCTGATGTGTTTCTTGGTAACCGCCCTAGTCTGACCTTTAGCAAGTGGTGGTCATTGTACGATAAGTTCTTTCCGTTCTTAATATCATTAGTTTTTTTCTTTCTCCCTTTCTTTTTTTTATTATTTTAATTTTATTTTGTTGATTGTTTTCAGTTAATTAGGATGATTGGTCGTTGTTAATCGGTCAGAGTACGTCCTAACAGGAATTAAGCTCGCCTTAGATCGTGGGTGGGTGAACGAGGGAAAGCCCCTGATATGTAACAATGATCTGAAAAGTTTCGTCTGCGAGGAGAACCCAACATGCAGGCTACTAGATTGAAAGCATTTGCGAAGCTGAAAACGGTAGAATAATTCCGGTGTTGGCTCTTGCCCACGGAAAGCATTCCCCTGCAGCTAGTGGTTTTACTCGATCACCTGACAAGGTCGAAGAGACACACAACTTTTGTAATCGCACGCTTATATTCTGTAAAGACGGAGATTACAAATATAGTTGGGACTTGAGAGTTTTCTTTTCCTTTTCGCTCCGTATGAGATAGCGTCGAATGTCCGCAATGCATGGTTACACTGTGTGACTACATTGCGTGTAACTATGCTGCGTAACTACACTACGTGTAACTACGATGCGTGACTGCATCTGTGCGTGATTGCATTGCGTGATTACATCAAATGATACCCCCACGTGATTGTAACCGAGTGGATACATCAAGTGACTACACTGCGAGACCGCTCCTTGTGACTGTGACGTGGTTACATCACCTGACTGCATGATTTTGTGGGAGCGTAGGGCGTAGGCTTGCATGTGCACACCCCACAAGTGGTTCCCAACAGTGGTATGCATTCTTTCGTGCCCCGAGATAAACTGAACACGTGACAGTGTAAGTCTACGAATGTCAGTAAGTGTGTATGTAGACTGACGCTTGGTGGAGTGAACCTGCTGGCTCAATGATCACAGTCAGGCATTCGATCAAGTGATACAGGCATAATTCCAGGCTCGCTGGACGAGCTTATCTAGCCAATGGAATTGCAAAAACGAATTTCATGCTATGCTTTTTGGATTTTGCTTTTCTGGGTAGATGGGAAAAGGAAAGTCGGTGCTGAGGAAAATCTACTATGTCCTCGCCAAGTTTTTACTTGATGGTGATTGAATAATCTTCATCCTAGCAGTTGCAATTGACTAAGGGAAGGGGTAAAACATTAGGCAAAGCCAATACTAGTTGTGCTCTGATTATCGGACAACAAGGCTCTGATAACAAGACTCAGACAACTAGATTTAGACAATTCAGACTTGAACAACTAGTTCCAAACTATTTCGACTCGACTTCAAGCAAACCAAACTCAAGCCGAACCTGGACAACCCTTCTCAGACTCAAGCGGAAGTCTGAAGGGCTGGCATAATAAACTCAGCAAACTCAAGTCAACTCAAAATTCGAATGACATTGGGCAAGACTGGTTACGAGTAATTCTCAGGTTCTGCATACTTGGGTTCGGACACGGTGGGAGAGCATGAAAAGTGAAGAGGTACTAGTTGTGAAGTGTAACTCTGTCAGAGACAAGAAAAGGGGATGGAAGGAGGAGGCATATTTGGACATGGACTCCCAAAAGCAGGTCCAGCGTAAACACGCTGTCCAAAAAGTGAAAATGGAAAAATACATTGAGTACGTGACTTATTTTTACGGGTCGGATGGCAAACTGCACTGTACCGGCTTCTCTCTAGAGACGGTGGAACAGGCCAGGGCATTTCTCAGGTGAAAACAAACACACTTGAGTTCTCCCTCTCTCGAGGTATCCACTGGTTCTCCCGAACAGTTAGAGGTTCCAACCATCAGTTGACAGTTCATTTGGTTTCCGCTGCTGGGAACCGGGGTTCCGTGACATGACAACCGACCCTGATTAATCATTCGAGTTATCCTGAATTTTCTAATCTGCATTCAGACCATTTTTGATCAATGCGCAATTCGTATTCGGCCCCTTAATGACCTTTCAGGCCTACTTGAAATTACCAATAAGAGTTGGGCAGCAACCCCCAACTCCCTGTATCCGGTGCTGTTCTCAGTGAGCAGCGCTCGACAGTGGATTGTGCGCTGTGACGTAAGCAGTGAACAGTGCTTAGCAGTGGTCAGTACTCAACGTGGTTGGGGGTAACCAGGCAACAATACAGCCGCTCCTCATGCGGCATTCAGCCGGTGACTAAGTGTTTCTCAATCTGCTTACTTCAACAGTAATCAAGCATCTGTCAGCCAGCACACTTTATGTCCAACACGTAATAGTAGAAACTAGTGATTTTGTGACGTGTTGCGCCATAGCCTCAGCTACGTGTCTCCAGCTGACAGCGTATTACCATCCCTGCAGTAATCAGATTTCTCAGTCTGCATAATCTCAGCAGCAGTAGTCTATCGGTAACCAAACAGCGAGCAGACGACAGCGGAGAGCGGCAACCAGGAACAGCAACAAGAAGCAGCATTCTGAAACAACTATTTGAAACAGCAATCCACCCAACAGACTTTTCATGTCTGGATCATCCAAGAGTCACCCACCCTAAGTTGGGTGAACTGATGTAGCGAGAGACCGGTGAGAATATGGACCACAGCAACACAGTTAGAGTCTCCTGCTTGCTGTATCAGAGCACTGCAGAGACCTGGAGGGAGAGTGCAGTTGAGGAATACAACCAGTTGACTGCTATGATGATGGAATGCGCTCTGATTCTCGTGAGGGATCATACAAAAATCGAATACAGGTACTACCTGCATGATAAGAATGGCAGGCTGTGTGCCACCATAACTTCAGTGGGCACTATTGAGGAAGCAAGGAGGATTGTTAGCAGCCACCAGTGAGTATTCTGTCTCTGAACAAGAATTGCCCACCTACCTGGACAAGTTAGTCATCAGTGATCATTTAATTAGTAATCAGTCATCAGCATTCAATTAATTTGCAATCAATTATCAGCAATCGGTTATTAGCAATCAGTTCCCTGCGGTCAGTTTGGTAGCCAGTTTTCAGGGACCATCTGGTCAGTTTGTATGGGCAAGAGTACTCATGAGCACAGTTCAGTCTGCTCCGGTCAGTGAGTCAGTACTGGCGAGCCTCAACCGGATCTCATGCAAGGAGGCATTCCATTATCGGTATGTTAGCGCCATTGGTTTCAGACAGGGAGATCTGTCAATCTTCATTATCCAGACCAGTTTTGGTGATGGCACCATCCACGATCTGAGACCTTACCTGAAGAAGGGCAAGGAGACTCATGAGCTTTTTGATCCAGTCTGGATCTCAGCCACTGAATACCTTGAGCAGAGAGAGAGGGAGCTCGATGAGAGTGGCACTAAGTTGATTCGCAACTTTGGACCGATGCTTTATACTGATGATCCTAGGCCTCCTGTCCCTTCACTTCTCACAGATGGCACGGGTTGGCTGGATGTGATTGGATTGGCAAAGAGGTACATCTCTCCGGCAGTGATCGACATTGAGGCATTAACTGAGCCTACCGAGTATCCCTACCTCAGACGAGGAGTCTTTTCAGTGGATGGACTGCCTACTTTGTGGGAGGAGTTTTGCTCCATGGTTAACTACCGTGTCATGTGCCTCGGATGGTCATGCTCAGAGCTAGCTGGCCACAGGTGGCTTTTCGTCACGAGGCCTCAGTCTCAGATTGTACGTAGGCGTGGGTCACGGCAACAGAGAAGATCAGTGAAAAGAGAATGAGAGAGACTGACCTGAGGGATGAGTGAGGACTCTTGAGAGGTGCTGACCATGCCCGCTTACATGTACTTTCTGAGATTATTATGAGTTCTCATTCTTCCCTCATTCAATTGCCCCTGTCTTTGCTCGAGTCAGTCAGTCTTATTTTCTGCATTATTCTTGCTTGATGATTGCCTTAGTGGATGTTTTGTCACAGTTCTCAAAATTAGAATGACATAATTGATGCATGCATAGCACCCCATAATTTATGATTATTATTTGCATAATTCTCTGCTGTTCCGAATCAAAATAAAAGATTCCTAAGACCGGGGACCGGCGAAGACCGCAATTGAAGGGTCTCGCTCGAAGCTGGACGCACACAACAGGAAGGGATTTGCATTATTTAATTAATTTATTTATTGCAATCACATTCAAAATCCTGCGTGACAGCCTGTTGGCTTTCCGGTCGCCCGAAGAGGCGTGACTGGAAAAAGTGCGATAACGTCCCTCACAGGTGTGGCAGAAGAGTTAAAGGAGAGGATGCCAGCCTGGGCCAAAATGAAAAAAGAGAGTAAGGGACAACTGATCTTAGTAGATGTAGAGGTGTCTAGGAGTAGAGTAGGAGCCCTTATAGACTCAGGGGCTACCCGTAGTTACATTAGCCGTAGGGCGCTGAAGAAGCTGAGGCTAGGACTAAAGGTCCAGAAATTAGTAGACCCCATAGTCAGTGTCCTCGCAGACAACCGCACGATGCGAGTTGAGGACTACGTAGAGGGAGTCCAGGCGTACTTTCGCCTAGAGAAGAATGGAAATGCGGAGAAGGTCCTCCATTCTTTGACTCTCCTCGTGCAGGATGACCTTCCTTTTGATAAAGTGTTAGGAATGGATTGGGGAGAGGCGGCAGGGGCCACACTTCATTTGAGAGAACATGAGTGTAGGCTCCCTAGCCCGGCAGGCGAAGTTAAGACTGCCCGCCTGTTCCATGTGTCAGGTGTAGATAACACCTTGGCACATTGCTGTCTTAGTGCTCCCGCGTTCGCGCGATTAGTAAAAAAGGAGCAGTTAGAAGACCAGGTCTTTGTAGTTTATGTTAGACCTGTCACTGAGGCCTAGGAAAAAGATAGTTCCACGGATCCAACAATTGCCAAGCTGCTGGAAGAATTCAAGGACTTGACTGAGTCACCGACAGGAGTAGTGTCGCGACCCATCCAGCACAGGATAGAGATAGAGCCTGGCAGTAGAACTCCTAAGGGTGCAGTCTACAGGATGTCCCCTAGAAATTTAGAGGAGCTTCGCAAGCAGCTAGATGAACTCCTCGAGAAGGGTTGGATTAGGCCCAGTTCGTCTCCTTTTGGAGCACCAGTTTTATTTGTCCCCAAGAAGGAAGGAGAGCTTCGTATGTGTATAGACTATAGGGGTTTGAATGCGATCACAGTGAAAAATGCTGAGCCACTGCCCCGGATAGACCATCTTTTAGATCGGGTGCAGGGTTGTAAGTATTTCTCTAAGATAGACTTAAAGTCTGGACACCATCAGATAGAGGTTCATCCTGATGACCAGTACAAGACTGCGTTCCGGACTAGATATGGGCATTATGAGTTTATAGTGATGCCCTTTGGACTAACCAACGCGCAAGCTACTTTTCAGCGTTGTATGAATGACCTGTTTAGACCGTGGTTAGATAAATTTGTAGTAGTCTACTTAGATGATATCCTAGTCTTTAGTAAGACCCTTCAGGAGCACCAGGGTCATCTGAGGCAGGTCTTGGAGAAGCTTAGAGAGGCTAACTTCAAGATCAACGCGAAGAAGTGCGAGTGGGCCAAGACGCAAGTCTTGTACTTGGGCCACATATTGGACGGAGATGGCGTTAAGCCAGAGGAGAGCAAGATCGCGGCGATTAGAGACTGGCCGACGCCCCGCACATTAACAGAGTTGCGGTCGTTCCTAGGCTTAGCTAACTACTACAGGAAGTTCGTGAGGAACTTCTCCACTATCGCCGCTCCCTTGCGCAGGTTGTTGAAGAAAGAGACAATCTGGCAATGGGATAAAGACTGTACGTCTGCGCTCAAGAAGTTAAAGCGCGCGCTAATAGAGTATCCTGTCCTCAAGGTTGCAGATCCGTCCTTGCCATTTGTCGTCACCACGGACGCGAGTCAATATGGGATAGGCGCCGTGTTGCAGCAAGATGACGACAATGGCTATAGACCCATAGAGTTCATGTCTGCGAGGATGCCCTGCGAGAAAGTCGCTACCTCCACGTACGAAAGAGAACTCTACGCTCTCAGACAGGCTTTAGACCATTGGAAGCACTACCTGCTTGGGAGGCACTTCAAAGTCTATTCGGACCATGAAACGCTTAGATGGTTGAAGACCGAGGCCAAGATGACACCTAAGTTGACCAGGTGGGCCGCAGAGATAGACCAATTCGACTTTGAGCTCAAGCCAGTGAAGGGCAAGTACAATGTAGTGGCGGATGCTCTAAGTAGGAGATTAGACTACTTTGGAGCCGTAGTACATTATCTGGATATAGGGAGAGACCTGCAGGAGAAAGTGAAACAAGCGTATATGGAGGACCCTATCTATAGTGACCTCCTAAAAAGAGTTAGAGAGGCCCTAGAGACCGAACCAGATTACCGCACTACAGACGGGTTGCTGTTTGAGAAGACTAATGTGTTTGACCGCCTGTGCGTTCCCAACAGCGAAGAGATCCGTAGTCTGATTCTAGGGGAATGTCACGATACTGAGGGACACTTCGGTTGGCAAAAGACGTTAACCAATCTGATGCGTGCGTACACTTGGCCAGGGATGAAGAACGATTGCATAGAGTATGTCCGCAGTTGTAAAGTATGCCAGAGAAACAAATCGACTACACGCGCACCCCTAGGTCTTCTCAGACCCTTACCTAATCCGGATCAGCTGGGAGACTCAGTGTCCATAGACTTCATGGACATGCAAGTCAAGAGCAGACATGGTAAGAGCCAAGTCATGGTCATAGTCGACCGTTTTAGTAAGTATGCAGTTTTTGTTCCTTTGCCTGCAGAGGCACGTACAGATTTAGTAATACAAAAGTTCTTTGACTTTTGGGTTAGTGAGAATGGAATCCCATTGTCAATAGTTAGTGATAGAGATARTCGTTTCACCAGCCAGAACTGGCAAGAACTCATGAGAGTCTACGGATCTAGGTTGTTAATGTCGTCCGGCCGTCACCCAGAGACTAACGGTCAGACAGAACAGATGAACAAGATCCTACAGCAAGTTCTGCGCATGTATATTGGACCAGATCAGATCAACTGGGATGAGATGTTGCCCAAGGTCGCGAGTGCATACAACAACAGCGTGCATCTATCCACCTGCCGCACTCCCAACGAGTTGCACAAGTCCTTTAGACCGCGCAGACCGTTTGAAGGACTGAACCGGGATCAGATTCACAGATTACCGCCCGGTACCAAGGAGTTTGCAATACAGCACGAGAAAGAGTTAGCAACTGTTGTTGAGAACCTTAGAAAGGCCCAGCACAGGATGATAGAGCAAACCAATAAGCATCGTCGCCCCTCGCAGTTTCAAGTAGGCGACTTAGTCTGGGTCAAGGCTAAAGAGTTT